TATTGTTCAAGTCACATAGGCCTCATTTTCTGCTGTTTTGAATGTGGAATATGGAAGGGAGGAATGTAAATTGATAAAAACACAGTTGGCTGCAGAAGGGTACTCAAAGAGTGCTTATCAATGGCTCCTTCTCAAAGTGGGAGGAAGTAACAAGTGGGAATCCATAAGGCTCAGTCCTGGGCCCAGTGTTCTTCAACACGCTTATTAATGATTTGGATGAGGGAGTACAGGGAATATTTATCAGATTTGTGGATAACACAAAATTGGGTGGAATAGTTAATATCTTGGAAGAAAGAAACAAAATTCAAAAAGATCTTCATAGGCATGAGCACTGTGCTGAAAACAACAGAATGAAACTTAACAGGGGTAAGTGCAACGTTCTACACTTGGTAGGAGGGAACCAAACATCCACTTACAAGATGGGGGATACTTGGCTCAGAAATACTACAAGTGAGAAGGATCTTGGAATTGTTGTAGATCACAAGCTGAATATGAGACAACAGTGTGATGTGGTGGCAAAAAAGGCAAATGCTATTTTAGGCTGCATGAACAGATATAGTCTCCAAATTCAGCAAGGTACTAGCCCTCTCTATTTGGCACTGGTTTTGCCTCTTCTAGAGTACTATGCCAAGTTCTGGCCACCACACTTTAAGGATGCCAACAAACTGGAACAAGTTCAGAGGAGGGCAACAAGGATGATCAGGGGACTGGAAACCAAGCGCTATGAGGAGAGACTAACAAAAGTGGGCACATTTAGCATTGAGAAAAGAAGACTGAGGGGAGATAATGATAGCAGTTTTCAAACACTTGAAAGATTGCCATAGAGAGGAGGGGCAGGATCTGTTCTTGATCATCTCAAAGTGCAGGACACATAATAACAGGCTCAAGTTACAGGAAGCCAGATTTAGGCTGAATATCAGGAAGAGCTTAGTTGTTGAAGCAGTATGACAATGGAACCAATTCTCTTGGGAGGTGGTGAGCACTCCAGTGCTGGAGATATTCAAGAGAATATTAAACAACCGTCTGTCAGATAGACTTTGATTTGGATTCCTGTATTGCGCGGGGGGTTGGACTTGATGGCCTTATAGGCCCCTTCCAATTCAGTTATTCTATGATTCTATGAAAATTAGTCACAAAAAACAAACAAACAAATACAAGCATTTAGAATTAAAAGTTTAACTGCAACACTGAACATATTTCTCAGTCTTTAAGCCCCCTTCAGCATGGTGGGAATTATTTCTGACTAAGCATACACAGATTGTACTTCCATACTTGGAAGGAAGAAATCCTGAACATAGAACACCAAAGGGCAAGACAAACAATTACGGTCGTTTAAGGCAGGGATGTTGGCAAGTCTTTAAGTCTGAGTCCTAAGCCTGAGTCTATTAAAAACAAGATTTTCCCCCCAGAAAAAGGGAGGGGTGGGTCGGTTATGAGTCATGTCTGAACCATTGGGAAAAAACCAACCTGAATCAAGTCTGAGTTGTCACCAGTGTGACTCAAGTCCGACTTGACAGAGAGTCCCGTGACTCAGAGTCCCCATCCCTGGTTTCATGGCAGACCCACTCACCTGTACTCTTCTCCCTGGTAGGCTCTTTGTGGAGCTGCACACTCTCCCCCCCCTTCTGTATTGATATATTTGAGCTGCCTCTGACCACTCATCTCTTTCAGACAGATTTACCAGCGCAGTGAGTACCAAGTTAATCTTCCACAAGTTTCTAGCTGATCCTTGACAATGAAAACAGTTTCTAAGATAGACTTCTGATGAAGGCTGGGCCTCCCTAGGGGAGCTGCACTCATGCCTGTGATTTTAAGGTTTTTATCTTTGCCAGGCCTAAAAGCATCTCTTCAGTCTTCCATCTTGCTTGTGTGCTGCCTCACAAACACTAGGGCAGAGTTTTGAGGGCTTCTGAAACTTTCACTGTGTGAAAGTACCCACTGGAGCTTTGCACTAATATGTCATGTAATTTGGTACCTGTGACATTCCAGTTCTGTGGTTTCTTCACTAAATACTATTTTCTAAACTATTTTGTGTCTATTCTGTGTGTTTCTGGGAAGATGCTTAACTCATCATCTAATAAAGGCAGTTCTGGCCACAAAAATGGGTGCAAAGCCTTTGGCAGGTTCGTGATTCTGAGTGTTGTGAAAAGACAACCTATTTTTGTTGTTGTTGTTAATGCCAGTGAATGAGGTCTTGCGTATGTAATTTTCTGCTTTAGGTGCTAAAATCACTTTGCCTGGCCTTCACTACTGTGAACCTGACTTGATTCAAGGCTGGGCTAGTAGCCACCAGTAGCTAAATGTGCTACAGTCCCTATTCACTCATGAACACATGGGATTAGTGGAAGGGAACCAAAAAAAGAGGTGAGCTTAGAGGCCATTGTTCTAAAGGAGCTTGTCAGAGCTGTTTGGAAAGTTGCTTGCATGTTTTTGGCTCTTCGTTTGCTTGCAACCATGGGCTCGGCTAAGAGCATATGGCCCAGATAAGGAGCTTCTGCTGAAAGGAAGTGAGCAGCCAGTAGCTGTAAAGCTACCTTTGGCCATTGCACACTTATAAGCAGGAGTGAAAGTAAAGGGGTTGTGCACAGGTATTTATTTACGGAACTTTAAGGAGAAGGCCTGGGGTGCTACGTCACTGCCGGTATAGGATGAAGAGGGAGCTGTTCTGTTCTTGCAGTAAGTGCTAGAGCATGTGGGACCTCTGTGGGCCTGCTAGAAGAAGAGGCACCACAGCTTGAGCCTTTCCAATCCACATTTTGTTGGCTCATGGAAGATCAAGTAATTTTGGAGCAGAACAGACTCTCCTGGAACAGCTATAGATGCCTCTAGGGAGCTAGAAGGATACAATGCATTCCTATCTAGGGATGGATAAGAGTAGTAAACATCAGGGCAGACACTTAGAGAAAAATGTCACGGGGAAGCAAGATTATCAGGAAGGATCCTGTCTCCTTAGGGATACAGTTCTAGGTCACTGGAGCAGGGAAAGCAGTCCCAGGCTTCCAGGAAGGAGAAGGGGGCCACGGAAGATTCTGTGGATGTAAGGGTTCCTGCCACTCCCCAGAAGAGAGGGAGACATGTGGTGATCGAAAATAGCTTCCCAACAGAAGGGGGACAGAGACAGCAGTATGGGCATCTGACAGATTGCCCCAAGAGGTGTCCTGTTTCCCTGGTGTGAAGATGTAGAATGTGACAAAGTTCACCAACACTGATCAAGACTATTGCTCATTGCCTCTTCCTTGTGATCCACTGAGAATCTACACACATTTTTCTAGAGGCAAAGCTGCATAAAGATCTAATAATACCATTCAAAGACACAATCAAGTACTGTAATGTCAGATTAATTCTCTTTCCCACTCTTTGACATCAGGATGAAATTGTACATATCACGAACCTAGATTTCAGCAAAGCTTTCAGTAAGATTCCCCCTGGTATTCTTGCAGACAAGGTGGTGAAATGTGGATTAGACACTACTACTATAAGGTAGATTTGTAGCTCTTTGAGGAACTATACTCAAAGAGCTGGTTCCTTATCATTTTGGAGAGAAACAACAAGCTGGGTGCCATAGGGGTCTGTCCTGGGCCTGGTGGTGTTCAAAATCTTTATGAGTGACTACAATAAAAGAGTAAAAAGGGATGCTCATTACATTTACGGACAACACCAAACTAGGTGGGATAACTGATTACTTTAGAAGACAGGATCAGCGTTCAAGACAACCTTAGAAGACTGAAGAAGTTGGCTAAACCAAGCAACATGTATTTCAGCAGGGGTAGGTGGAGTGTTCTACATTTAAGCAGGAAAGATCAGACACACAAATGTAGGTTGGTCAACATCTGTATGTGTGAAAAGGATGTAGGGGTCTAGAGATCACAGGCTAAACATGAATAAAAATGATTTGGTAATAAACAAATAAGGAAACAGAAAACTAATAAAATTTTAGACTGCATCAACAAAAGAACAGTGCTAAGACCAAAGGAACTAATTGTGTTGTTTCTATTCTGACATGGTCCGGTCTCACCTGGAATAGTGTCCGGTTCTGGATATCCCATTTAAGCATATTGACAAACTGGAATATGTCCAGGAGAGGGCTGGTAAAGAGGCTGGAAACAAAGCCCTATCATTCTCTCTTGAAGGAATTGGGTATGTTTAGCCTGAAAAACAGGCAGATCAAGAGATGATAGTCATCTACAAATATTTAAAGAATTGTAATGCAGCAGATGGAAAAAGCTTAAAGTAGCACCAAAGGATAAGACATGAACAAATGGATTCAAATTACAGGAAAAGGAGACTTTAGCTGAACATTAAGGACATTTTCTGATGGTAAGAGCTATTTTGTGGTGGAAAGCATTACCCCCAGTGGAGGCTTTTAAACATAGTTTGGACACATATCTGTTAGCACGACTTCAGCTGTGGATTTCAGGTACTTGCAGGGAGTTGAGGTCCCTTGAGTCCCATGGAATTCTAAAGTTCAGCCAGCCTGGTGTAAGGATAGATTGATAGCCAAGGATTCAGGGGACTGGAGTCCCCGCTGGGCTATAGAAACTCACTGAGCAATGGTAAAACGACTCTTTAATATCTTAGGCACCTCAAAAACCCTGTTAGGGTCGCCAGAAATCCGACGCGACATGACAGCACGTATCAAAACAAAGACAGTGAAGAGGGATAGAGGGGGAAGCCTCGCCTGTTCCTCTCTCTCAGGCAGCAGCCAGAGACTATCTTGACCCAAGCCCGCCACAATAAATCTGAGTTCACTCCCCAATGTGAAAGTCTTTACGGTGCCACCGGACTGTCGTTTTTCTGCAACAGGCTACGCCGTTGGAATCTGTTGCCAGTTACAGCGGCAACACTCAATAATTTCCCGGCATATTGGGACGGTGTCAACAACGGGAAAGGTGGCCACTTCCTCCCCTCTCGCTCGCAGGCTGGGCGGTTCACGCTGGGCTCCCTCCCCTGAAAACTCCCCCCCCGCCCCGCCCCCGCTGCTCTGCCTGGGATTGCGCGGAAAGCGTCGAGCGAAATACGAAGTCCACCGTAAAGATGGCAGCCGGGCACTGGCGTTGGCTGGGCAGGACGGGGGTTTCCCTGGGCTTCGGGGGCTGCAGAGGATCTCATTCGGGGGCTGGAGTCTCCCTGAAGCGGGAGTACGACGCCGTCGTGATAGGGGCAGGTGGGTTTGGAGAGGAGTAAAGGTCATGGGGACAGGCACACGGGGTCGAGGGGAGCAGGACGTCGGTAGCTAAGCGGAATGCCCAGGGGTGCCCAGGAAAGGGTCTTGTGAAGGATAGCTAGAAGAGTGGCTGTCACGGTGAACGGTAGCAGGCTAGAGTAGCAAATGGGCTTGACCCAATCAAGTTTTAAGCTGCTAGAAGGAGGGAGAGGCTATGCTCGTATAAATACATTTACTTTGGACGCCCGCGCGCAGGCGGCAACCAAGAAGTCTCCTCACCCCTGTGTTTATTGGTTTGCAGGGCACAATGGACTGGTGGCTGTGAGTATCCGAGAGAAAGCGGGCATCAAATGCTTCGGCGCTGCTGGAAGGGGTTCCCAGTCTTTAATATTTGTAGCTTAGGAGACCGGGCCTTTTTGTCTTGTAATTATGAAGTCCCCCAGCAAGCGGGGGAAGTCCGACATCCCAACAGGTGGAGTGCCTCCCCCCTCACTCCATGGCCTGAGCCATCCTTCCTCCACAGCAGCCACAGGAAAGCAGCTGATGGGCCTGCCCAGAGCTGAGGCAATACTATCCCTGCTCCTTCCACAGGCTGCCTACTTGCAAAAAGGGGGACTGAAGACTGCTGTGCTGGAAAGAAGGCACCTGGTGGGGGGTGCTGCGGTTACAGAGGAGATTATCCCAGGTAAGAGTTGCATCTCCTAAGGACTGCACCGTCCACCCCACCCCCACCCCCGCATGTGGGCTGCACTCCTTGACACATCCAACACATATTTATTCTGCAGGATTTCGCTTCTCGAGGGCCTCTTACCTGCTTAGTCTGCTAAGACCTCAGATTTATACAGAGCTGGAGCTGAAGGTACAGTATGAAGTGAATGCTGAAGAATCAATCAGTGCAATGGGAACTGAACTGAGGGGAATTCCACCTGGTTTCTAGCAGTTTCATGTCTCTTTTTATCTGGCCTTTGGCCTTTGCACAGACTGTGTCCACAAACATCTCTCCTCTTCCTCATTTACCAGGTCTATTAATGTCACAGTGACCACAGCTTTCACCTTTCACTGTGCTTTTTTTTTCTTATTAACTGCCAGCAGCTTCAAATCAGGAAGTCAGGCACCGTTTCCCCCATTTGTCAGTGTCCTAGACTCTTACAGGACTAGCAGGTTATAGTCTTATGGAAGTGAAATTATTACATAAATAGGCAAGGGATGACACAGTACTCATATTTACTCAGAAGTAAGTCCCAATATATATGATGGATGTTGCACTTAGGTGAAAAGGTAATTGAAATGCAACCTTAGTTAAAGGTTTATAAAATTCTAAACAGTGTGAAGAAAGATTTTTTTCTTTCTTTCTCAAAGTATTCACACAGGTTTAACCTGAAGTCAATGTGCACAAAATAATTTGGATGAGTCCTGTGGGAAGCTTCCCCTTCTATCCAAGTGGCCCAGGGGTCAAGCATATAGAGGTCTTCTGTCCTGCATCTGCCTGATAGTGCACTGTTTCATTCCAGTGGACTTAGTAGCCATGTTGACTTTTGTCTTGCAGAGGTATGGTTTAAAAGTGCTGCCACGTGACCCTTATTCCTTCACTCCATTGTTGGGGGACAGTCAGGGTGGAAAAGTGCCCCCCTCATTGCTGCTTGGCCACAACATGGCTGAGACCCAGAGCCAGATTGCTCAGTTCTCTGCCAAGGATGCTGAGGTACGGTGGAGGAGATGTCCTTGAGGAAAATGGAGGAGTGAGTGGTGGTGGAATGGGTCGCGTCCCCATTGGTACAGGAAACGGGGGCCAAAGACTTACGGACACTGCATGCATTGGGAGTGTATATCGGGGGGGGGGGGGAGATTCTTCCAGAAAATGGCACCTTTTCTCCAGAAAGAATCTCAAGTGATGGCAAACAGAACAGCACACAGCCGCCGCCGTCTTCTTCTTCTTCCTTTCCTTTTGCAGACCTTTCCCAAGTATGAAGCCTTCATGAGGCGCCTTGTGTTAGCTATAGACCCTTTGCTTGATACTTGCCCTGTGGACGTGGCTGCCCTCGGCCAGGGATCCCTGCGTGAGCGACTGGGAGCCTTGCGAGGCTTGAAGAGCTTGCTCTCTGCAGGTAACAGTGTACACACACACACACACACACGAACAAATCCTCAGGATCAAATTGATCTCAGGTCAGTGAATTCATGTCTACATCTTACTTCCATGCCTTTGTGTATGTGTGTGTCTGTTGTGAATGTGTGTGTGACCAATCTTCTGTTTTAATTATAATTGAATGCAGTTGTCTAATGTAATTAGTTCAGTGAGCTGCATGTAAGAGTCCCTGTGTCCCCATGTTATTGTTATCTGTCTGTCTCACAGTAAAGTTGATGGCTATTCTAAGGCAGGCACTGGGAGTCTCAAGCCTGTGGAGTAGTTACAGCCCAGAAGGACTCTCAGTCCATCCTGACAGCTGCTGCATCACTAGGGCTGTAGTGGTTAATCTGGAAGATATAGGGCTCAGCATAACATCCCTCATAGTCACCCCCCCCAAAAAAAAGAGAGTTACAAATGCAGGTTGCTGGATTGGACTATGCATACCTATAAAACAAATGGCTCTTAGAGGCTGATTACATGGGCATTTAACCTGCTGTTTGGTCCACTGCAGATATGAGCTGGTTTGCTCCTAAAGATGTTGCTCCTAGATCCTGCCTACACTTTTTTGGCCCCTGTCAAGGGTTTCTACCTTTTTTGTATGGGTAGGATCACTCTCTTTGGGTCTGGTCTCACATTCATGTGGTTGCTGGGAATGAACCAAAAGCCTTTTTTAAAAAAATTTGGCAATATCACAAAGTAGCTTAATTTAGCCACTTTAGAATGTTAGCTAATTAAACACTTCCTATGCACCTTATGTGTTTTTGTTTGTTTCTTTGTTTGTTTTAAATCTTTTCTTTCCCTTCTCTTAATAATCTGGTTGGGAAACTGCCTGCAGCTGAATCCACCACCATGACAGTTTCTCAACTGGTCCTTTAAGACAAGAGAAAGAAATGTACTGTATTTATGTATTATGTATAAGTATTACGTTACAGCAAGCTATCAATCAGATATGTATATTGCCTGTTATTTTTCTCTTGAAATCTCTTGTAATAAACATACACTTTTAAAAAGCAGGCCAAATAGGGTCATTTGAGGTCCATATGCCATCTGGATGTGAGGAATGCAGCAAATGACATATTGGACCTCCTAGTGACCCTGTTTAGCCCATTTCAGTTCAGCCGTGTAGACAAGCCTTTAATTGCCCATTTAAGAGCAAACCACCTTCCGATACTTTGTGTCATAGTATACTGTTCCTCCACACTTTTAAAAAGCAGGCCAAATAGGGCCATTTGAGGTCCATATGCCATCTGGATGTGAGGAATGCAGCAAATGATATATTGGACCTCCTAGTGACCCTGTTTAGCCCATTTCAGTTCAGCCGTGTAGACAAGCCTTTAATTGCCCATTTAAGAGCAAACCACCTTCCGATACTTTGTGTCATAGTATACTGTTCCTCGGAAAATCCACTTTCCCCCCATATATTAAGAGAATGGCAAGTTAGCTCAAAGAGAACAAGGAAGCCCAAAGGGGTGTCATAGTCTTTACTACTGAACAAGTAGTTGAGTATTTTACTATGACAAATGATGTCATAGTCCTTACTACTCAAAGGATCCTGGGTTTTCAACCCTGTGAGCTCCGGCCCAATATGTCTCTGGCCACTATGTGTCACCTTTCTCCTGTACCACTCCTGTTCTCCAGGCAATGAAGAGTTCTTATATCTAGTCAGCAATTGGACGGAGATTTTCTCTGTAGTGAACGGAGAAAGTCTCTTTCTCAGTGCTGAGCAGAGAAAATGCTCTCTTCCTCAGCTAATATGCTGTGAAGCGTGTTTGTGTGCATGTGTCTGTGTGAGGTCAGGGTGATTCCCAGATCCATATTCCCAGAGAGTGCTTGAAGTGCTATGGGGTGGTATATAAGCAGCACGCTTTGCTTTTGCTTTTTCTTATATCTAGTCAGCAATTGGACAAAGATTTTCTCTGTAGTGAACTCAGAAAGTCTCTTTCTCAGTGCTGAGCAGAGAAAATGCTCTCTTCCTCAGCTAATATGCTGTGAAGCGTGTTTGTGTGCATGTGTCTGTGTGAGGTCAGGGTGATTCCCAGATCCATATTGGTGTAACAGTTCTATAAGGACAACCAAAATGGCACAGATTTGTGTGGAAGCTTTCCAGATGCCCAGACATCTTCAATAGGCAAAATGTTACAGAAAGCACGGTGTGGGAGTGCATGGGGAATGGGCTGGGGGAAAGGACTGTATGGTTGAAGACATGGCATTTGTGTCCTGCCTTGAGAGGCAGTCAGGGAGGAGTGGGAATCTTCAGGTAGACTTTTCCTCATGGTCTCCCCGCAGCTTTGTCACAACAGGACAGCTGTAAGATCACGAGTAGGGGTGGTTTCTTGATCTTTGTATTGGTGTAACAGTTCTATAAGGACAATCAAAATGGCACAGATTTGTGTGGAAGCTTTCCAGATGCCCAGACATCTTCGTTAGGCAAAATGTTACAGAAAGCACGGTGTGGGAGTGCATGGGGAATGGGCTGGGGGAAAGGACTGTATGGTTGAAGACATGGCAGTCAGGGAAGAGTGGGAATCTTCAGGTAGACCTTTCCTCATGGTCTCCCCACAGCTTTGTCACAACAGGACAGCTGTGAGACCACGAGTAGGGGTGGTTTCTTGATCTTTGTGTGAACCACCCTTGATTCCAGTTTTCTTCACAACAGGCTTTGTCCTGGGGAAAGATCTTCCCCGATACTATGAAGTCCTCACAGCCCCCATTTCCAAGGTGAGCACCTGGTTAGAAAGCTCCCAGCCTAACTGCTGATCGGAATGGATTCTGCTAGTTCTGAAGCCACCTGAGAGCAGATCTGCCCTCTCATTTCTACAGCTTTGCAGCAACCACTCTCCTTTCCTTTGAGCTACAAGCAGGGCCCCATCCTTTGCTTAGAAGCCCGTGCTGCTGGGGGGAGAGGGCAATGAATGGATAGTTGTTCTGTTGCTGTTATATGCAGTGCCTACTCACTGTCCATCTTTATAGATCTTGGATTTCTGGTTTGAGTCCGAGCCCTTGAAAGCAACTTTGGCAACGGATGCGGTGATTGGTGCCATGGCTGGTCCCCACACACCAGGCAATGGGTAAGAATGAAACAGGATCACAAACCCTTTATTTCTCTTTACTGTTCTCTGGCTCAGGAGTGGGGAACCTTTGTCTCTCCAGATGTCTGGGACTTCAGTTCCCAGAAACCCCAACCTGTGTTGCCAATGGTAAGGGATTGTGGGAGTTGCAGACCCAAACATTTGGGGGGCCAAGCTTCCCTATCTCTAGCCAGTCCTGTTTCCCATCACATCCCCCTCCCAACTTGAGGTTTCTCCCCAAAGTTTGTACTTTATATGATTATATCTATGCCATAAGTCAGAATTGACTTGATGGCACATCATCGTCCTCCTCCTCATCATCATCATCATCATTTATTCTGGGATCTTAGAGGGGGTTACAAAACTGAGTAACATTTTTAAAATAAAATATTTAAAATAATTTAAAATCAAATAATAGAATATTAGAACATTCAAACATGAAAACCATTAAGAACATAGCACTAAAACCTGCACAGGTCACCTGTCTCTTTTACATTTTTATAGGTCCTTTGGGACACAAAAGTTGGGCTATTAAAAGAGTGCAGTAAATGCAATAATAAATCATAAGGCGTGTTTGAGAGTGAGAAATGCCATGTGAGATAGCAGAGTCCTGATTAGTTTGAGGGGCATTTGCTAGAGAGAAATAAAATGGAGCTTTGCCGACCTGGCTACTTCTAGCCTGTATCTGCCCTATAGATATTGCAGCTGTCTGCCTGCGATGAGGGCTTTGGGCCTTGTCTATGGCAGGCCATAATCCTTGGTTTCTCTTGCAGGTATGTGCTGCTGCACCATGTGATGGGGGAGATAGAGGGGCACCAGGGGGCCTGGGGCTACGTGACGGGTGGCATGGGCGCTGTTTCCCAGGCCTTGGCCCGTGCTGCCACTGCACTGGGGGCCGAGATCTTCACTGAGAAGGTGAGTGGGTCCTGAGAAGGACAGACAGCTGGATGTGAGGATGTCCCAGATTATGAATTTGTTAGCATCACTTTCTGGTCACTTAAAAAATGTGCTTTATTGGTTTTTATTAGGAAATCACTTTTACAAGGAAATCACTTTTGCAAGGAGTAACAAGGAAGTGTTACTCATCACCAGCTGTTCTTTTACTTGTAGAAAGGCATGTAAATTGGCATCATCGTTAACTAAAATGTAAAATGTTACTGTTAACAGGTTTCTTCTGATACGCTACCCCCCCCCAAAAAAAGATTCTTCTTGCACAGTCACACATAATGATGTTTATGATGACGTGTTACTCCCAGGCTTAGGAAAAGCAAAGCTTGATCTTGCTTCTGAAAAGGTTGTATGGGAAAGGATGCCAGCGTATGGGGACTCCTAGTGGAAGGAAGCTCCCCTGAAATGTTAAATGCCATCATATTGAGCAGGTGGAACACTAGATTTGGTTGTTATTCCAAGGCAAAGGAAAAACGAGATCTCTCACCATTGCCCTTTGGCTGTGCTAACCTTTCTTGAAGTTGTTGGCCTCATTGAGTTTCCTTGTGGAGAAGTTGGAGAAGTTGTGGCCTTCCTAGCATCACTGATGCCCTGTCAAGATGGGGCAGGAAGAAAAGTCATTTTCTCCAGACACATTTTTACAGGCCACATAAAAAAGTTGTATTTGTTTCCTTTTCTCTTTGCTTGGCCCCCAATAGTTGGTTGCCCAGATCCTGAGCTGTGATGGAAAGGTACACGGTGTGTGCCTCCAGGATGGGACCGAAGTGAAGAGCTGCCTGGTGCTGTCCAATGCCTCTCCTCAGCATACCTTCCTGGATTTGACCCCCCAGGTGAATTTTGCTTTTTGGGATAGGATGGAATCCCCTCAGGAAGCTTCTTTCAGGATCCTACGTAACTGCAGTACACGGCCGTTGTCCTTTCTTTCCCTTTTATCAAAGAACGGGATTCCCAGAATGTACAAAGAAAGAGCTATAGGCCTGTTTGCACTCTGGTCTGGCAGGAGCAATATGAGCCGGTTGCAAGGACCTCAGGAGCTAAGATTTGCCAGAGATGGGGAAGGTTGAGTCTCTGGTGGATGCTCAGGCAAAAAAAAGTCTGTTGCTAAAGCCAAGGCTCATTGTTAAACTGGAAGAAAAAGCACTGCCTATTTTCCCCCGAAACAATCCAGGCACCAACTCGCTTGCAATAATTTCGGAGCAGAGGAACTGAGCTGGGATGAGCTCAGCAGAGGCATCATGTTTTATTTTAATAGTAGACCATCCTGAGCTGCTTGGCATTACACACACTTTGGAGGACCATGGTTCATTATGTTCTGGGGGAGAAGCTGACTAGGAGCAGAAAGTTCTTATATAGACCCCAGGCACTGGAATCAAGGGCCATGAGTAGAATGTTATGACCACTACTCATTTTGCCTTTTGACATATCAAGCCATCTTTTAGGGCTTGCCTCTCTGAGCCTTAAATGATCTGGCATGACTTACAGAGCTGGTTAGGAAAAAAAAAAGACTTAACTCCTCAACTTCAGGCTGCTACATCACTGCATCTTTAAGGAACTGCAGGCAAGACATTATCTTGTTTCAGTCAAGATGTGGACCAGGACTCCATACTTAGGGAGAGTCCTCATCAGTATGTGCTGTTTGCATTGTTGCCCGGTGGCTAAACATGAGTATATATTCTGCACACTTACCAAATATTTCTGCATGTCTAAACATCTGACCATGGCTGTGCCTACGGTATAGGATGATTTCTGGATGAGGATACTTCATCAGTACGTGCTGTTTGCATTGTTGCCCAGTGGCTAAACATGAGTATATATTCTACACACTTACCAAATATTTCTGCATGACTAAACATCTGACCATGGCTGTGCCTAGGGGTATAGGATGATTTCTGGATGAGGATACTAATTTTTCTTGCTTCTTTCTGTTTATTAGGAGAATAAATTAGTTTTAAGACCTTAGGAATGGATGCCGTGCTGTTTGCATTGTTGCCCAGTGGCTAAACATGAGTATATATTCTACACACTTACCAAATATTTCTGCATGACTAAACATCTGACCATGGCTGTGCCTAGGGGTATAGGATGATTTCTGGATGAGGATACTAATTTTTCTTGCTTCTTTCTGTTTATTAGGAGAATAAATTAGTTTTAAGACCTTAGGAATGGATGCTCTTATGCCCAAAGACCAGACTGTGGTTTGATTTAGGGCACAGAGGGAAAATCCAGTGTTCCTGTGGTACTGCCACTTGAGTCTTCTGGCATTAGCTTGTACACACAATTCATAGAAACTCTCATAGTCACTAGCTATATTGGCTGGTACGTACTTGGAGTAAAAAACACAACCTTTTCCTGAGTTTTTCATACAAGAAGCTGCTTTAAATTAGGTCAGAACATTATCACTCTAGCCCAGTATTTTCTATGCTGACTGGCAGTAGCTCTCTGGATTGTCAGGCGGGAGTTCCCTAGCATGTGCCTAAGACTGAACCTGGGATCTTCTATATGCAGTGCTAGAGTTCTGCTATTAGCTAAGGCCCTTCTCCATATGTTGTCCTTGATGCCATTGGGCCACTTGGTTGCATCAAGGCACTTCTCATTTCCCCTGCATTCTATTTCTGATTACAGTGGTGCTCCGCATAGCGACGATAATCTGTTCCGAAAAAATTGTCGCTAAGTGGATACGTCACTATGCGGGGGGAAAAGCCCATAAGAATGCATTAAAACACGTTTAATGCATTCTTATGGGCACAAAACTCACCACTATGCGGAAATCCTCCATGCAGCCGCCATTTTCACTGCCCGGTAAGCGAGGAATCTGGGCAGAAACACAGCGGGCAGCCATTTTCTTTACCCGGCGGCCATTTTGGAACTGCCGATCAGCTGTTTAAAAAAACATCGCAATGCGATGTTTTACCATTAAAGCCATTGGGCGGTTGCATCAAGGCAGTTCTCATTTCCCTTGCATTCTATTTCTGATTATATGAGTTGCAAACATGGGCCTAATATTCAGAGAAGCATCAATGGGGGTGGAATGCTTTGATTGCCTACCATGAAAAATATGTGTGTGGAGTTTAGTCTCCAGCATGCTTGGGGATTGTTTCCCTAGGTTTTATTATTAGTTTGTGGATCTTGCTGTTTAAAAAAACATCGCAATGCGATGTTTTACCATTAAAAACATCATAGTTATGCGGATTTGTCGTTTGTTAAGCGAGGCGCCACTGTATATGAGTTGCAAACATGGGCCTAATATTCAGAGAAGCATCCATGGGGGTGTAATGCTTTGATTGCCTGCCATGAAAAATATGTGTGTGCAGTTTAGTCTTCAGCATGCTTCAGGATTGTTTTCCTAGGTTTTATTATTAGTTTGTGGATCTTTTTTCCTAGGAGTTCTTGCCCCCAGAGTTTGTCCAAAGAATCTCACAGTTTGATACACGTTCTCCAGTCACCAAGATCAATGGTAAGTACTGCAAGGTGGATAACAGGTCAGAAAATTCTATGCAAAGGTTTCTGATGGCTCATCCATTTCTACAGTTCTGTGAGCAGCAGATGAAGAAGGCGTCACCATATAGGTGAAGAAGATAATATGGGCACCCAACCCTAAGTTAGCTGAAGCAGGTAGCAAATTTTAGCCTTTTTAAATTTTTTGTAGTATTGGGTGTTTTTTTTATTGAACAAGGACAACACAAGCTTTCATACAATGAAAAACATAGCAATTTTGTAATGTTTCATCCAAAGACCACACATACAGCAACTTACTCTAATTTTCAGGATTTGAATGTGGGTTTCCTGAGTCCTACCCTGTTTCCCCAAACATAAGACCTAACCTGAAAATAAGTCCTAGTATGATTTTTTTCAGGATGCTCATAATATAAGCCCTACCCCCCAAAATAAGCCCAAGTTAAGTGAAACTCTGCCCTCCACCACTGTGCAGCATTGTGCAGCCACCGTGCATAAAAAATGTGACTGGATTTGAATAAATGTAGATTGTTGTGCATAAAAAATTTAAAACATCCCCTGAAAATAAGCCCTAATGTGTTTTTGGAGCAAAAATTAATATAAGACCCTGTCTTATTTTCAGGGAAACATGGTAGACTATCATTCTATCCACTACAACAAAAGGGTGAAAAGTGAGATTTTGAATAGTGGGATTGACCAATTTATTGGTACCAATCAAAACATCACAGATTATAAGCTAGGTGGTACAAACGGTACTAAAGTGTATGTCTTTTTTTACTCTTTTCCCCACTCCTTACTTTTTTTACCAGCCTGATAAACAGTTTTGAGGAACGTCAAAGTTATTTGAATGCTGTTTTTATATTTATATTATGTAAGCCACCCAGAGTAGATTCCCAAATGTAGATGGGCGGGGTAAAAATGGAACAAATAAAATAAATAAATAAATAAAAGCTGCTCCATTACTGTGGGACATTTTAATTGGTGCTATTTAAATATAACCGAACTCTGAATTCCCCATGTGTTTTGTATTTATTTTTAAAATATTTCTGAATCATTTTTCCATTCACTGAGTGGTCAAGGCAGTTTACAATAAGGAATTAAACCCAATGAAATAGGACACCAAACAAGAAAAAAAAATTAAAACTCAGAAATAATGTGTAAAGCAACAGTTTTACTTATAGCATATTACTTTGGGGAGATAACAAGGACATAAGGTAAAGGTAAAGGTTTACCTTTACGACTTTGACATTTAGTCCGGTCGTGTCCAACTCTAGGGGTGCTCATCCCTGTTTCCAAGCTGTAGAGCCAGCGTTTGTCCATAGACAGTTTCTGTGGTCACATGGCCAATGCAACTTAGACACGGAACGCTGGTACCTTCCCACCGTGGTGGTACCTATTTATCTACTTGCATTTGCATACTTTCGAATTGCCAGGTTCAAGGACATAATGGTGGTTATTTGGTGAAATAACATAATAACTGATTTTGTTGTTCAGTTGTTAAGTCATGTCAAACTCTTTGTGACCCATGACCCAGAGCACGCCAGGTCCTCCTGTCTTCCATGTCCCAGAGCACGCCAGGTCCTCCTGTCTTCCACTGCTTCCTGGAGTTCGGTCAAATTCATGTTGGTAGTATTTTCAGAAGCTTTCACAGCCAGGATCTGATGGTTACTGTGGTTTTTTTTGGCTCTTTGGCTGTGTTCTGAAGGTTGTTCTTCCTAATGTTTCGCCAGGCTGGCATCTTCAAAGGATGGGAGTCTGAATGCTGTCTGTGCTCTGTTGGTAGCTTTGATGACACTGTCCAACCATCTCGTCCTCTGTCATCCCTTCTCCTCTTTCCTTCACACTTTCGCAACATCGGGGTCTTTTCCAGGGAGTCTTCTCTTCTCAGGAGATGGCCAAAGTACTGGAGCTTCAGCTTCAGGATCTGTCCTTTCAGTGAGCACTCAGGGTTGATTTCCTTCAGAATTGATAGTTCTCTCAAGAGTCTCCTCCAGCACCACAATTCAAAACCATCAATTCTTTGGTGGTCAGCCTTCTGTATGATCCAGCTCTCACTTCCATACGTCACTACTGGGAAAACCATAGCTTTGACTTTCACTGCCTCCCTTCTATTTGCCAGGATACCCCTTCCCTGTCTATTTGCCAGGAGGTGATGGGGCCAGTGGCCATGATCTTAGTTTTTTTTTGTTATGTTGAGCTTCGGACCATTTTTTGTGCTCTCCTCTTTCACCCTCATTAACAGGTTCTTTAATTCCTCCTCACGTTTTTGCCATCAGAGTGGTATCATCTGCATATCGGAGGTTGTTGAGATTTCTTCCAGCAATCTTAATTCTGTCTTGGGATTCATCCAGTTCAGCCTTTCACATGATGTATTCTGCATATAAGTTAAATAAGCAGGGAGACAATATACAGCCTTGTCGTACTCCTTTCCAAATTTTCAAACAATCAGTGGTTCCTTATCCATTTCTCTCTGTTGCTTCCTGTCCCACATATAGATTTATCAGGAGATAAGGTGGTCAGGCACCCTCATTTCTTTAAGAACTTGCCATAGTTTGCTGTGGTCCACACAGTCAGAGGCTTTTGCATAATCCATTAAGCAGAAGTAGATGTTTTTCTGGAACTGTCTAGCTTTCTCCATAATCCAACGCATGTTAGCAATTTGCTCTCTAGTTCCTCTGCCCCTTCGGAATCCAGCTTGTACTTCTGGGAGTTCTCGGTCCACATACTGCTGAAGCCTACCTTGGAGGATTTTGAGCATAACCTTGCTAGCATGTGAAATGAGTGCAGTTGTACGGTAGTTGGAGCATTCTTTGGCACTTCCCTTCTTTGGGATTGGGATGTAGACTGATAGCATTGTGTAAAAAACAGCAGCTTTTTCTCATTACTCCTATAATGAGGCTTTTAGAGGGTGATTGTGGAAGCAATTTTTAATTTTAAAATAAAAAGGAACTGAATAAATAATCTAGTTAACAAGTATTAACATGTTGGTCTTCAAATACAGTGGGGTCTCTACTTAAGAACGTCTCTACTTAAGAACAATCCAACTTAAGAACAGCTCCATTTGCTCAATTTTGCTTCTACTTGAGAACAGAAATCCAAGATAAGAACAGGAAAAAACCTTTCCTGCTCTTTTTTTAACCTTAGGTCATCTTAGGTTAAAAACAAATTCTCCCCCTAGTGGTAGAGTACGTATTAACCAGCTTTGCATTAGTTCCTATGGGAACTAATGCTTCAATGTACGAACACACCTCTACATAACAAAAAAACAGCCAGAACGGATTAATTGGTTTTCAGTCCATTCCTATGGGAAATTTTGCTTCAACTTAAGAACGTTTCAACTTAAGAACACCATTCCAAAACGGATTAAGTTCTTAAGTAGAGGTTCCACTGTAGTTTCTATGGATGGGAAAGAGCAGATACGGATTAAATGGTTTTCAATGCATCCCTATGGGAAATGCAGATTCAACATAAGAACTTTTCAACTTGAGAACCACCTTCCAATACGGATTAAGTTCTTAAGTAGAGACCCCACTGTAATGAGCAATGAGTAATGCTTTTTAAAAAATAATTTAACAAATAACAAATTAATTACTTTTTAAAAATAATGCTTGAAGCTCTCTCAAAAGTGATGAAATATCTAGCGATAAAAGAGAGGAACCGTCTAACACCAAAGAAAAGCTTTATTCAGTAAACTCTTCACAGAACAGCCCTCCACAAACTTCCGTAACATCCTGAGGAGGATTGCCCCAGATGTCTTATGGCCCAACTTATAATCAATCCCAGCTAATGGTTTATTTTTATTAGATGTGCACAGGCAACCACAAGTCTGCTAGGATGATGTTAGGAAGCCAAACCAATGAGATTCTCTTGCCTTCAGGATCACAAAGCTCTGGCTTACGCTGAGTAAGATTACAGTGGTGCCTCGCAAGACGATTTTAATTCGTTCCGTGAAAATTGTCGTCTTGTGAAAAAATCGTCTTGCAAGGTTCCCTATGCATCGGTCTCAAAAAAAGTCTTGCAAAGCATTGGTCTCAAAAAAAAAAAGTCTTATGAAGCACGGTCATAGAAAAAAAAGTCTTGCAAGGGACCATAGTGATCGCAAAAAAACAATTGTCTTGTGGGTTTTTCGTCCCGCGAGGCAATCGTCTAGTGAGGCACCACAGTATTGGTATTGCCAGCTCTGGATGACAGCAACTCTACAGTTTCAGGCAGGATTTTTCCCCAACTTGGAAGTGTTAGGAGTTGAATGTGGGACTTGCTGCACGCCAGACGGGTTGCTCTACCTGTGAGTTACAGCCCCTTCCCTCCTCTTCCACATGGCTATCTTTGCAGAGTTGCAAGCCTGTCCTCCCCATCCCACTGCCTCTCTGATTTCCTGGTAGGCTTAGAGTGCATATCTAGTGAAGACTGGTGCATGTGCACTATCCAACAGATGATCAATCAGTCTGCTGGTCTGATCTTTCCCAGAGCATTTTCCATCTTTGATGAATCTCCATACCACTTGATCACAACATAATGCTGACTTTGTGCAACTACATCAATATGCATCTTAACAAATCTGACAATGCTGAAGCATGTAACCTACTCTCTTGAAGCGGAAGCGATTGTGACACGGAGATTGAGAACCAGGCATGCTGTTAGGGTTGTGCTTTATGTGATGGCCTCACTCTCTGCTGCTTTTGTCTACAGTGGCTGTGGATCAGTTGCCCAATTTCTTAGCTGTTCCAAACACCAGTGATGGCCACCCGTCACCCCATCATCAGTGCTCTATCCACCTCAACTGTGAAGACATGGGTACTGTGCAGCAAGCTTTTGAGGATGCCTGCCAGGGGACGCCATCTAACAGGTATGACTGGGAATGCTATGTTGGCACAAGTGATTAGAACTTGAGATTTTTTTAGAGTCTGTTCCATCCTAGTTGATGTGGGAGAACAGCCAAGGGAAAAAGTAGGGGTGGCTTAAAACTAGATCAAGGAGGTCTTGTTTTGATGTACTTCTAAAACAGTTGCGAATAGACTATATATACCTTGGGTCTCCAGATCTGTTTTCCTATAGTTTTAAAGCCTTGCACCTGGAAACTTGCCTTTCAGCAAACATGTACACACCTAGACTGTTAATTTTCTTTCTATGAATAACAGATATAGAAGAAGCTGAGTATGAGTTAAGGTGAATTACAAGAGGGATGATAAATTACATTGTTTCCTTAAAACAGGGGTGCTCCCTGTGTGGCTTCTGAAGGCTGAGAGATACCACTGATTAGCTGGACTGCACAGCTCAAAACCTGCCCTAGTTCCTGGACTCTCCGATTGCTGTTTATCAGCTGTCAGTAGTGTTGGCAGTCCTCTCAGTGGAAATGGCTGTGAGATGAAAGGGCACTGAGATGTGGAGGGAAGAGTGAGGTAGGGGTGTGTGTGTGTGTCTGTGTATACACAAAGGATGTGTGACTCATGATTTATCAGTTCTTTCTCTGAACAACTGTACTGACTCATGAATTGGAAGTGCACAGATTTAGTTAGTTTTTTAATTTCCTCAATATGATCGAGACACAAAGACAAATCTGTTATGCAAAGAAAGAAAATATAAAAATATGGAAACATATGGACAAATCTGAAAACCAAACTGCTAATACAAGCCTTGCTATGGCAAGAGCCTTATTGGGTGATGACTATAGGTCAAGGAGATAAGGAAACATGCTCAAGCAAAACAAATGGATATTGTTAAGCTCTGTTCTAGTGTCTTTCTAATTCTGTGAGTGTTTTGGGAAATTGTTTCCTGTATGCCCACCACCACCATCATGTACACATACAATTTCACTGGCCGTTTTAGACACTGGAATCTCTTCTAGCTTTTTACCCTTGGATGGTCTAGTGCAGATGCATTTTCCCATATTGCTGGCTTTTGATTTGCAGCTTCCATTTGCTGGCTTTCTGAAGACCTGCTACTTGCAAATAACCAAGATGAGCTCTCTGCAATGGCCAAAGGTTTTACAAGTATCTACTCCTTACCCCATCTCATTCACGTTATTATCATTTATTCAGCACTTTAAGTGTACAATGTGATTTACAGTCTCTTCTGTAATTCACCTTGACATTCAACCTGTTACAGTGTAAATTGCACTGCCCAGAAAGGAAATTAACAGCCCAGCAATGTGCATATTTACTCAGACATAGGTTCCACTAAAGTCAGTGAGATTGCTTCCACTTAAATGTACAAGAGATTGCATCCTTCGGCAATACATATTCCGTTTCCAATTGCATGGTGGGTGTAGCTCAAATGTGACATAGTATCTTCCAAATCCCATGTTCCAAGACCACATCTGTCCTCATAGGGGACAGGCAAATAAATGACTCTCTTCTCAAAATCTACCTGATTGGTTTTATGCAAGGCAGGGGAAACTTCATCCTACCAGTTGTTCTGGACTTTAACACATAGAAGCCCTAGCCAGTGTGGTCACTGATAACGGATTGGGATTTGTAGCGTAAAACAGTCCTAATCCTCACTAGGGGCTGTATTTGGAGAGATCTTTCAAAAAACTTTTACCAAGTTGGTGGCTTTCTTCACTGCCAGAAGCAAGTGTTCCACTTTCCTCCCTGCAATTCGTTTGGCCCCTTCGCTGGCAATTTTTTTTAAAAAAAAAACCCACGAACAAGCTGGCTATTTAGGCAGGCATTCCAACATGTTATACCTGCAGACTCAGCTGAGCTTAGTTAGCCAACTTGATCCAGCCTGCCATTTTAAATGTTTTAAATGTTATGAATGGTTTATGCAAATATATTTGTATATTTTGATGGTATTATTTATTTGCATTTTATTATTTCTATTTCTTCTTTTGTTAAATTGTTTTTTAAGCCTGTTGGTTATACATGTTGTAAACCATCCAACGTGGCCTTCAGCCAAATGGATGGTGGTATAATAATAATAATAATAATAATAATAATAATAATAATTAATAATAGCATGACAATGCAGCTATAAAGAGGTAATTCTGAAGTTACTCTCCCTAACTTGCCATCCTCCAGATATGTCATACAGCCTGACCAACAGACTACCCAGATATGTTGAACATCTCCAGACAAATGGGAGGCTGGGGGCAAGGGATCTGTAGTATTGATTCATCTGGAGGGTATCAGTTAGGGAATTCACTCAACAACGAGGCTTGCAGCTGGCCTATTTCTTATCATTTCAGGCCTATAATAGAAATGTGCATTCCATCTGCCCTGGACCCTACTCTGGCTCCCCCAGGCTGCCATGTGATCTCTCTCTTCACCCAGTACACCCCCTATATGCTGGCTGGAGGGAAGCAGTGGGATGATCAAGAGCGTGAAGCCTACGCCGACCAAGGTGCAGCCATTTGACTGAGGACTGGGAGGAGCAATAGGGAGAGGGGTTGTATAGTGTGAAGGAAGGAGGAAATACTTCTGTTTTCAAGAAGGCTATCACCCTATTGTTCACACGACAAAGCTTCCCATTTCACAAAGTCAGTTCCAGTGGCAGCTGGTAGCTCCAGTTTTGGGGATATTGCAAATCCATTTCAGGTTATAATCTGCATTTTACTGGTACTCTCCAAGGTGCTGAACTGTATCCCCGGAATAGGTTTGGCACCTTGCATTACTTCTGTAAAGTGCAGACTAAAACCTCATGGCACCACCAAAACTGAAGTCATTAACTACCACTGATCAGTTCCCACATGGGAAGAGCTCCCATCCCCCACCCAACAACTTCCTTGTTCTTTTTGATGATTTGCTTGCCCCAAACCTTTGGTCTTCTTTGCTTCGATGTTGCCCTTGATGCAATTTCATCTGTTTGGGCAGAGATTGGGTTCCAGGGTCAGTATTATAGGATTTAATCATAGTGTACTTATATTTTTGATGGTACAACTACACAGTAAGGGAAATGAGAATTAACTTGCATTTTCTCTGTGTGAAATTGCATCAGGGCATTTGGTTTTGTTCAATATAATTGACCACACAGACAGAAGAGGGAAAAAAATTCTTCTGCCTGCAGTTCCATTTGAAGTACCTATAGGTGGCACAGTTCAAAGGAACTGCCTTAAGAAGGCTTTCTGTCCTATTTCCCAATGTGCCTTGCTGACCAGATTGCTAGTTAAACTGTAAACTAAGAAACAGGAGCTCTGCCTAGGAAAGTTGTTCGTACGTACGTGCATGCTTCCATGTGCACGTGTGCACGCATGCGTGCCTCTGTGTGTGTGTGTGTGTGTGTGTGTGTTTTCTTTCCATTCTGCATTGGAGAAACTGAAAGGATTTGACTTTTAAAAAGTAGAAGTGTCTCTAGTAAGAAGGAAAAACTATGGATTAGGTATGGGACTCTGGGCTGAAGATTTTTTTTTCTGTGCAAGGGTTATCTAGTGCTAAACTAGTATATTAAGGACTCAGTGCTAAACTTATTTATTCAAAAAAGAAAACATTCTGGAATGCCTGGAGGACAGATCTCAAGAACAGATGTTCCTGCAATCCCGAAACACCACATCCCAACTGCCTATGTCATCACAACAACACCATTTAATACCCACAGCAAATCTCATGGTGTCTGACTGTGTAGTTGCAGCCTAAGTCTTCAAAGCCCCTGAGTGTTTACATTTCAGCTAGATACTAATTAGGGAATCTCTAGGTAAATAGTATTAGATCTACCATGGGCTAACAGGAAAATTCACTTCTCCCGACCTGACCCAGCATCTCTCCCTTCTCCCTGTAGTATTTGATTGGATTGAAGCCTATGCACCTGGGTTCAAAGCCTCTGTCATTGGCAGAGATATTCTTACACCTCCAGACCTTGAACGGATCTTTGGACTACCTGGTGGAGTATGTATTTACTTGAAACTGCTACCCATAGAGCTCTCTAATTTAACCCTGTGCCTAGCTTCATCTTGCATGTCCAACTTGAATAAGAAACTGGTGGCTGATTTGACAAACCATTTCAAGGTGATTCTCAACCCCTTTTATCTTCTCTTACTCCCTATATGTGGCAAAAATGGTCTTATCTGCTATGCTTGCATGTTGTGGAATGCAGAGGATGCAAGTAAGTTTAAGGCTTTAGTTAGTTCATTGAGATATCTCATCTGACACTGCTTTTGTTTTTTCAGAATATATTCCATGGAGCCATGTCTTTAGACCAGCTGTATTTTGCCCGGCCAGTGCCCTCCTATTCCAATTACCGGTCCCCAATCCAAGGCCTGTATCTCTGTGGGAGTGGGACTCACCCTGGTATGTGTCTTATGTATGAGGGCACAGTGTGTGTCTGGTCAGGCTGTGCTACAAGTTGAAGAGAGAGAACCTGAGCAGAAGTGGAAGCAATTGTTAGAGAGAGCCTATAAGGGTGTGTTCTGGATTTCTGGTACACAGCTTCGTTTAAAGGCTAGGATGGATGTAGCAATAGTGAATAGCCTCTACTTTTCCTGTAAGGTGCCCTGAAAGTTGTTCACAGGCTCTGTACATTTTTAATAACCCTCCATTATTACAATATGGTGTGCATTTGTATGTGTATATAAATGTGTAAGTACATACCTCCACATACATGAAGCAATAGTAATGGTAATAATAGTCTCTGTCGTTCACACTAATGGGTTGTTCTGCACCTGCAGAGATGTAATCAGAATCTCCCAAAGCCTAGGAAATAGTTGTTAGCCCCATCCTGGCACATCACACATGCTCCTCCACCCAATAGCTAACACTCAGTTCCATTTTGACCACCACTGAAGCAGCTCAACAGTCATCTGGAGCCTTATTCACTCAACTATTCATGTAAATAGTGGTTGTTGTGGGTTTTTCAGGCTCATTGGCCGTGTTCTGAAGGTTGTTCTTCCTAACATTTCGCCAATCCCTGTGGCCGGCATCTTCAGAGGACGGCACTCTGTGCCACAGAAAAGCCACAATCAAAAAAGGCCAAAACTACTGCTACATGAGGGAAACACTTACCATTGGTATTGAGGCAGCCTCCAGCTCCACAGCTCTCACACCTGAAAGAACAGGAGGATTTTGTCTGTTAGAGATCATTATCAGCGGAAGATGATACTTTACATCTTTCTCCTAGTGTTTCCCAAGCTTTATCACCAGCATGGAGCTATTGAACACACATGTGGGGGGTGGGAGTGGGGTAAGCCTGTATCCCAATCCAACCTTAAAGATACTGAGAAGCATACTAAGAAACAATGGCAAAATAAAACTGCCCCATCTCATTTACCATCCTTGGAATTGGAGGATATCCAACCCTCAGTTTCAGGAAACCTTCAGGAAAACAGACTACCGCCCATCCCGTAAGGAGATATGTCAGTGGGAGACAACTTCCACCCAGTCCCTTTCTTCTGTGGAGCTCCACCTCATTTCTGTGCTGGTATTGAGTGGCCATTTATGTTGCCCTACTCTGTTTTTCAGAGGGCATTAAAAATGGGGCATTCGGCCATATACCACGATTTGGTATTGGGCCTTTCAATGCCAAGTCTTCCAATGTCAGAATGCCAACATACTCGGTGCATAAAATGAAAGCTGTCTATTTCAAAGTTCCCAGAGCCTTCTTAGCATTTGATTCAGAAATGTGCCCATTCAGCATTGAACTCATCATCAGACACCAGGTCCAATCAATCATCTACTTACTATAAAGACACCTTGATGCTGTGCACCCAAAATCAAGGAGGCTTCAAATATAAAACATTGGTGCTAACCAAATGGAGGACAAAACTAGGTTGAAAGTTTTGACCCCAAAAGCTCATTGATATTGATGCTTGAAATTGAGGAAGACAGAGACTAACAATCTTAGGGCCTCTGATGCTCCACATTCAGTCCAGAAATCCTCCACTTTGAGACACAGTTCTGACTGTCTTAGAAACTAAATTTAAAAGATCACATTAAAATTATCACTCACCTGATTGCTCCACTTAGCATCCTTGGTACAGAAAAGGTCTGGATTTCAGAAATCCTATTCATTCACTCAGGACTCACAAGATTTCCTCTTGTAATCGGTGTCATGCTCTTGATTTGTGGAACCAAATACAAAACACAACAGAAAGTGTCAAAAAAAAAATTCAGAAGGACACCTAAAACTAAAGTAGATCTTGTATCATCAGACCCAAACTCTAAACTTAAAAATGAAAGAGCAAACCACTGAGGAACAACAAAATCCCTCAAATAGTGAGAACAACAGCATTTCCTCTCCAGAATTGCTGTCACTTCTGGAATCATCTGAGGACTCGGACATTGCTGATAACAACCCTCCATCATTAATGGGCGACATCAGGTCCTTTACAGACCTAATGAATGCTCAGGACTCGGACATTGCTGATAACAACCATCCATCATTAATGGGCAACATTATTTTATCTCTTACTGTATTGAATTTTAATTATTGTAAGCCGCCCAGAGACCTCTGGGCTGATCCTCTTTACAGTAAGGTCCAAAAGAATGCTGCCACCTCAGTCCATGTAGCCATGTTGCTATCATTACTGGACTTGGTGAAGGAACCATGGAAGAAACCATCGGCTATCTCATCAACATTGAGAATAAATCAAAGCATCCCTTTGTACTGGACAACACCAGCAATCATTATGTTAGACAGCACAGGGAAGCCACTGGAATCCATAAACATCAGCATAACTTCAACAAAAAAGAGGAAAGTCTGAAACTGAATAAGACCTGGCTTCCAGCACTGGAAACTACAGCCTGCAGAAGGTCAACAAACTCTAACCAGCCACAAGGACCAGGGATCATTGCACAAAGAGACCAGCTAAAGACACCCATCAACCACAGTGACAGATAATCTCTCCCACTTATCACAACAATACATCCACAACAAAAATGCGCTGATCACCCAAGCTCCTGAAAAGGACAAAAGCTGGTCCCACAGCTATAAATACTCAACTATCCAACAAACATCAACAGAGCATGGACAGAGTTCCTACTCCAGTCCTCTGAAGATGCCGGTCACAGAGACTGGTGAAACGTCAGGAAGAACAACCCTCAGAACATGGCCAAAGAGCCCGAAAAACCCACAACAACCATTGTCCAAGTGGCTTGTAAATGCCATCACCTTGTCCTACCAGTTAGTTATCAAGGAAATCTGTGCCAAACTGCTTGAAAGGACATTCTACCAGGGTGGTTACTGCCTCTATGGTCTTCTTTAAAGGGATACAGATGAAGGACATCTGCAAAGCAACCACATGGTCTCAACCCACAATGGTCATCAAGTTTTATAGGCTGGACATCAGAGCAAAACTTGATGCTTCATTTTTTTGAGCAGTGAACTTACCAATATTGGTGTGACATCCCACCAGCCAGTTAGTGAGGTTGTTACTCACCCACTAGTGTGAATCACAGAGACCACAAAGAAGAAGGACAAGTTACTTAGCTGTAACTGTAGTTCTTTGAGTGGCCATCTGTGAATTTACACACCCCACCCAACCTCCCCTCTGTCTGCCATGCATTGCATTTGATTCAGCAGCAGACATGGGAATGGAGTGTTAGCCATTGCCCATCCAACCTCCCCTCTATCTGCCATGCATTTGATTCAGTAGCAGACATGGGAATGGAGTGTTAGCCATTTGGTGATGGAGCATGCACTTTGTGTGAGTGTGGGGTTAGCAACTTTTTCCTAGACTCTGGAAGATTCCAAGGATGTCTATACAGGTGCAGAACAAACCATTAGCGTGAATTCACAGATGACCACTTGAAGAAGTGTAGTTAAAGGTAAGTAACCTTATGTTATGTGCTGTCAAGTTGGAACTGATTTATACAGACCCTAATAGGGCTTTCAAGGTAACTGAGATATTTAAGGAGTAACTTTACCAGTTCTACACCTCCAGTGAGTTTCCATGGCTGAGCAAAGATTTGAATCCAGGCCTCCTGAGTCCTAGTCCATCACTCTTACTTCTGCACCACAATAAAACATATCCTGCAGCTAAAAGTCAACTTAGGCAGTATTGTGTAATGTTTCTGATTTGCCTGTTCTTATTCTTGTTGTTTTAAAACAGCAGCTGTAACCGTTCCCCATTCACAATTGGGACCATGGTGTGAAGGGAGGCATTAATCCTTTTCTGTGTGCTCTAGCTCCAGAAAATGCTTCCTTAAATTTGCTATTTGCTCAAGAAGGAAAGCCCAGCTCGGAGAGGTGATTTTCATTGAGTTGGGTGGCCCTGAGAGGGTTCACCTCCCTCTTGTGCACCACACTCTAATTCTTATCTCTTTGTCACACAGCTGCAAGTTAAACAAAAAAAGAAAGAAGGTCTGTTTCCATATGATGTAATTAGGCCCTAAGCTGTCTTCAGCATAGATCTCTACAGAAGAGGTAGAGAATTTGGATGAGTAGGGAACTGAAGGGCAAAGAGAGGTATTCTTTGCCTTCTTTCCAGCTAGCTCAGGTTTCAAACCTTCTCTATGGGGAGGCAGTTATTTATTTATTTATTTATTTATTTAACTTATATGCCGTCCACTCTATCCAAAGGTCTCTGGGCGGTATTGATATTGAGTGCATTCTACATGTATCTTTTTAAGACAAAGGAGAGAAAGGAAATGAAAAAATTAGGCTCTCGCAGCTCTGCATTCTTATCATGGGAAGTGTGACTCCTGTTCCCTTCCTATCATGTATCCCTGCCCTGGTCACACTAAGAGAACGGAGGTTATTGGTTCAAGGGGAGAGAGTGAAAGCCCATCTTCTGATGAACGATGCCCTCATGAACTTTGCTCTCTTGCTTCCTGACTGTGGATGCAGTTAAGCTGCCCAATCTTTTCCCTTCCCTTCCCAGGAGGAGGTGTAATGGGAGCTGCGGGGCGCAATGCTGCTAAAACAGCCCTGGGAGATTTCAAGAAGCTGTGACTCATTAGGAATGAGTGGCTGCTGTGGTTTAGGAGAAGAGACCCCCCACCAGTTTGTGGCCTAAGAAGTGAATTGCTGTCAAGTGGAAACCCGGCAACCTTTCAAGGCTTGCCATCCTGAAGACTCGTTGCTCTTGGCATGACACTCTTACAAAGCAAGAGATGAGCAACACTCCTTCGGTCATATCCAAGTATGTTCCCATCATGTTAGTTGTGCTCTTTGCCATTCCAGACCCAGTGTAATGGACTGGCCAACACTCTCCTTTTTGCTATCTTATTGATTAAACTGGAGCTATGCTTTCTTGCCATGGCCGTTTCCTGCAGGAGAACCTCTTCTTTTTACCTTTGGCTGGTTCTGAGATGGAGCCTGTCACACCTGCTGTAAGAAGCAGAGGGCAAGGTTCAGGGTCATGACAAAAGCTAGCTTCTGTGTAGTCGCTATTCCTTGGCCTGTAATATACTGAGCCTTGCTGGATTCAGAGCTTCTCAATAATGATCCGCAGTACTACAATTTCTTCTGGAATCCATTGATCTGCTCCTGAGTTTGCAAAGTGGGACTTCTGGGTTTCTGTCCATCAGCATGTTACAAGATGGGCATTCCAGATCCAACCACTGAGCTGCCTCTAAACAGCTTAAAATGTGGACATTTGATGGTCTCTACATGCTGGGGAATAAGGCCAAGTTCTGATCAGTCTCACCTTAGCAAAGTGATGAGAAGAGTCTGTTGCCATTCATGTCATCTGACCTTGTGCTCCCTATCCAAAGCTGGACATGCCTGACTGAGCCCCAGACCTAAAGAGCCATATTTCTCACTAGCAAAGAGCAGCTGCTTGCAAACACCTCTCTGCAGTCGGACTGCAAATCTAACTGGGAAGTGGCCAAAAGCCAGCAGCCTTCTCTGTAGCAGGGCCTTGGTTGGGCTTTGTGGGCAGGGTGCTCTATCTGAATCAAAAATCACTTGAGCCGGAGTACTTGGCTTTCATCCAGCTCCATTCCTTTGAAATCAATGGGGATAAATCAGCTTAAATCTAAATACTCCACTTTAATTGGCACGTGGACTGCAGCCAAAGAGTGTTGACACAATAAAGAAAATCAATAAGTAACTTTCCTCCCTAGCTATGATGGATTGCTTTCATGTGAAGAAATGATGGTTAAATCATTGCCAGCTGTATACTTAGAAAATGTGTGTCCAAAGATTAAAGAGGTAAAAAATAAACTGAGTGCCTTATATTCCTTTGAAACACCATTTTTCACACTGAAATGGTCAACGGTCTTGGGGTGGAGGTACTTCACCCTAAAATTTTGGTGTGATGTGCTTTTCTTCTCAGACCAGGAGCCATCCCCATTCCTTTAACTTTTGTGGGAACCAATCAGCTGAAAATGGAAGCCAAATATGACACTGACTTCTTAGATAGGATAGCCAGCAGTTTTAGGGTGCTTTTTGCTAGGTATTATTGTTGAGCCATACCCATTCATTTCAATGTAGTCTGCTTCAGTACCTGGCACAAAATGCAACTGAAATAAATGGAGGCTGTGTGCAGCTGTAGCTGCCAGACCTTTCCAAGGGGAAGGAAATTGTGTAGTGCTGTCAAACTTGCTTGTGTTACGTAAAGCTCTTCAGTATGGCCATAAAAGTAGATATAAGGCATTTTCTCCTGAAGAAACTGAATGCACATTAGCTAAAACAAATGAATTGAGCCTATCCACCCGCACTGCCCCATAATCAAGCTGCAAATATGCTGCCTTGGATGTAATGCGGTGCAGGATGTCTTCTTTTTCTGCACCATTGCCCTGCTGATTCACGTCTGGTATGTGTCCTACAATAACCTCTGTGTCTTTTTTTTATTATTTCATTTTTGCCAGCATTAGTTATTTGGCGTGTATTGCAGGAGCTGCAGCCGTGGCCTTAAGTGCAAGAACAATTAACTTTGTGCAGTGGATCTTGTTAATGTAAGTTCATAAATTCCCAGGACGCTGGACTTCAGTTATGTAGCACCAGCCCAGGGCTTGGGTATTCCTTCTGTAGTGGAACCTATTGGCTGAGAGCGGGGACTTCAGCCACTGGGATCTTCCTTACTGAAAGATTTCCACAGTGACATGAAACAAGACCTGCGCAACTTCCAGCGACAACTCTGTGCCCATTAGACCAACATGTACCACGAGGTGGCAGCGTTGTTCCTTTATAGCTTTACCAGAGATGTACATATTTGAATAGTGCAAAGCCAAATCTGCTAACAATAGCTCCACCCTTCTCATAGTTTTATTATGTCATGCCCACTTTTCATGGATCTTTCAGTATCATCAGGGATAGACGGTAAGTACAGCACCCACAGTGCCTCAGCCGGGCTGCCTGTGTGGAGCAGTTGCACCTCTATTGCCAACAGAGCACCACCTTCCAAAAGCCAAAGATGCTGCTAATGGGAGGTCAAGCACTTGGTCACAATGGGGAATACTGGTATCACCAAGAAAAAGGAGAGTGTTGTGTAATGGTTAGAGATAATGTTGAACAAGGGCTTGACAAGATCCAGGTTCACGTCTTCAGTCATGAAACTCACTGGGTGATCTTGGGCCAGTCACTGTCAACCTGACCTACCAAACAGGGTTGTTGTAAGGATTGAACTCATTGGGGAAAATATAGTATATAAACCTGTAACTAATAAGTGAAAGGCGAGAAAAGGTCAATCTTATGTTCAGCTGATTTCCCCAAAAAAGAGACACTCTTCTTCACTGAAGGGGCTCCCCGCTTTCAGACACCAGAGGGTAATTTGAATACTCATGATTGACATGACTGAGTGGCTTATATCACCTATAGGGACATTCGTTTGCCCATCAACTTACTCATGGTGAGGCGGCGACAGAGGTGGGCTTTTAATATATGGTGCTGCAGTGGTACAGGTATGCTGGAAGGACTGAGGCTTCTTCTGTTCCACTCTCTTCCACCTCTAACCTGCCCCCAGTTCTCCTCTATTTGACACTGGGCTAAGTAAAGCTGCCCTCTGGAACATTGAGGATTGGCATCACCACTTATTTCCCTGAGCAAGCAGTTGGCTTATTCCCTGGTTGCTTCCAGTCTAAAGGGATTACTAGGAGAACTATTATTTAAGATTTACCCCCAGACATATTCTACCGTGTCTCTGTGTTACCTATTGAGATATAGATGCTGATTTAGATAAAAGGATACATAAACAATGTTTCTTCTTTGTGGTCTCTGTGAATGCACACTAATGGGTTTAATGTGCACCTGTGCAGAGGTCTCCGGAATATTCTAGAGCTTTATGCTACCTTCATCAAGGACCAGCCCCCTAGCCACGAGGTCCTCCCGTCCTCACAATTACCTCAGTTCCTTTTTGCTGAGGTCTCTCCTCTAGTCGAGCTGTGTTTGTCTGTTGTGGTTCTAAAAAGGAATAAAAACTGTTCTCAATCACTTTCAGGCTTCAACTTCTTCTAATTAGGGAATCGTAAGAGACTCTTAATTACTTGGACCATTTTCTCCCTTCCATTTCCCCGCCATTTATGGCACCCTTACCCCCCTTCAAGAAGTGCACTTCATGCTCAAATAAGATCCCCCTCACAGACGGCCATAACACCTGCCTTTTCTGTTTGGGAGAATCCCAAACCTCATCCTGCCAGTTCTGTAAAAATTTCACCAAGCAAGCCCTTAAATTACGACAACAGTGCCTCAGATCTTTTCTTTGGGAAAAATCACTTCAACCCGCCCAAACCATGGATTTACTCCATAATCCACAACCTCCGAGACTATCTTCGGTTCCATCTACCATTTCTCCTTCTGCAAGATTGATTTCTAAAACTTCTCAAAAATCGAAATCTAAATCAAGTTCAACTAAATTGACTTCTGTAACGAAGTCCCCCTCGATATCAGATCATTCCAAGTCTAAAAAAATAAGAAGTCTTCTGCTGATATCCATCTGCACAGACTGGTACCAGATCAACCACCACTCCAGAATCAACCCACTGTATGTATAGATTATTCAGAAGAGACTCTGTTGCCTCCATCCGGCCAACCCAAGTCTCCCATTCTTGTTCAGTCTCCACATTCTCCTGTTGATGCTGCAGAAGTCACAATAATATCGACTTCACTGCACTCAAGTCCTCTATTGACAGTCCACTCCATCCCAGTGGGCAATTTGGACTCTGCATACCAGGCACCCAATGTTTCTCCTCCCCATAAGAGGTCGAGGAAAGAACATCATATGTCACAACCAGATCATTTTGGTGCCGATACCGTGAGACCCGACACTCCAACCAGGTCCTTCACATCCTGAGAGCCGTCCAGAAGATACAGGCAGTCCAAATGGGTCAGGGTCTATGAACTTCTGGAGTACTATGACCCTGCCCACAGACGCTCTCGATATCGAGCATATTGGTACTATCCATCCGAGCTTGACTTGTACTTTGACCATCGACATATATGTTGGTTCTATTATGATTCACACTTATCTGACTCATCTCCTTTACCTAGATACCAACCATGGTACCAAGAAACTTACCAGTCCAGTCTTAATCGGACAAGGGTTCGGTACCACCCGCCCTGATATTGAAACATAGATCAAGGAAAAGACAGCATCATGACATACCTCAGACTCAATTCACGGTACCGAGGTGATCTCGCGTACCGGCTCCAATTCAACAATCCCAATCTGTACAGGCAATCATGACCTACACAGGGCCTCCACCTCCACCTTCTGGTACCAAACATGCTGAGAAAAAGACCTCCAAATCACAGGCTGCCTCGGTACCTCCTCAACACTCTTCATCACAATCTTACCACAATCTTCCAGAACCAACTTCTACTCATCCACAATACTGTCCAGCCTCTCCAGTGCTTTCCTCTCAATCATTCTCTTCAAACTCTTCCCATTCCAAGATTCTCCACCCAATCTGCCAACACCTGATTCTGATATCAATACCAATAATCCTCCTTCTCCATCTGATCACTTCTCTTCTTATTCATAGTTCTGTGAATCACTGAAGCCATGGAACTTGATGTACAACAGCCTTCTCAAGTTCAATCAGACAAAGTCTTTGAAGATACCAATGAGCAACAAACTCTGCCTCTCAGCATGAGCTTTATCCTTTCTCTGCTGGAACTTACTAAACAAACCTGGACAATACCCTCCTCTATACCGCAGATGTCTTGTAAGGTTGAAAACCTTTATAAGACACACGGAGATAATACCACTTTCTTGTTTAAGCATCCACCTCCTAATTCACTTATTGTAGATGTGACTCAAAACAGGGCACGTAATCGCTCTAGCACAACACTTAATAACAAGGAAGACAGAAAACTGGACATTGTAGGATGCAGGATCTACTCCCTTGCGTCAACTCTTTGTGCTGCCAACTACATTGCAGCTATGGGAGCCTACCACCATTATTTGTGGAACAAGGCCCTCCCATCCCTCCAATCTGCTGCAGGCCCTTGGCCTCGCCTTACATCAGGAGGCCATGGCCCTCGCATGCCAAGAAAGAATTACAGCTAGGTGCATCATTGATGCCTCCTCAAGGCAGTAGCTCTCCGTAGATATACATGGCTTTGATTTGCATATATCTCGGGTGACGTCAGGATGAGAATAGAGAATTTAGCCTTTGATGGTTCCAGTTTCTTGATAAAAAAAAGACGGGATCTTGGAGAACCTGCAAAAATTGAAAAAGACAGCTCAGTTTTACAATACCATAGCATATTATAGACCGCAACACCCCCAATGGCGTTGTGCCAACAACCTAAATCATATTTTGACAGGAATTTTGACAAGTACTCATTCAATCAACTTCAACATTCCAACCTAGGCATGCAGTCCAACATCAACACCCAAAACAATCCTTTCATCACCCTGAGAAAAAGAAAAAGCAGGGCTTTTGACTTCTTCGTTCCCCAAATCTGCAACACTCACCTCTCCTTGACATCAACCACTCGTCTATCAGCTCATCTTCTAGGCTGGTCTTCTATTACAACCGATTCTTGGGTACTCACCATCATTGCTACCAGTTATGCCATAGCATTTGCTTACCTACCGCCATCAAGGATCGTTCTAATGCCACCATCCATTGTCCTCAAGCAAGAAATCCAATCTCTCCTCTCAAAAGATGCTATATCGCCCATCACTACTACAGAACACACATCCAGGTTTCTTCTCACGCTGCTTCACCATCCCAAAACAGGATGGCGGACTAAGACCTATTCTCGACCTTCAGGAG